TAAAGTTAACTGTAAAGAAACACCTACTGACTTGCAGATTAAGGGGAAAAAATCTATTCTCCCATTTCAAACCATGATACAAATGTGCACTGACATGTGGAGAGAATAGTCATTTGTATGTTTGCAATGTGTGTTTTAGATAAAATAGGATTGGGTATTTAAATTAGCATATTTGTGAATTTAATAGCATTAAGATTACTTTCAAATGAAAAAAAATCTCAAAATTAACAAAAAAAAAAAAAAAAAGAAAAGAAAAGTTTTGAAAAAGGGCCAGGGATATAGTTCAGTATAAAGGCCCTCCGAGGGTTCAATCCCTAGTACCTGGGGGAGAAAAAGAAAGACTAAGACTTTCTGTGGCTCCCCAGTGTCCAGAGCCTACAGACCAAAGTCCTGATATTCAAAGTCCCTACTTTTCTGGATCCCCGCCTTCCACCCATGGGCTCTTGATACAGCACATTCCTGGCTCCATGTCCCTAAATGTCCCTCATGCTGTGCCCCTTTTACCTTCCCCAGTGTCTACCAAGGAGCACTCACAGGGACAATTGGGATGGAAACTCCTTATGTTTTGTCTCTTGTGAGACTTGCAGTGGCAAACCTGCTGGTGACAAAGGCCACTGGAAGGCTGGTGACTGGTCCAGGTCATGTGACGAAGTGATTGTCTCACCCAGGGCCTGTAAAGGTCTGCAGAAGCTGTGTCGCAAACAGAGCCCCACTGTTCTCACCTCTCCTTGGTCCTCACCTGCCAGGGTGCCAGTGGCTGCTGAGACCCCAAAGTAACCTCCAGGGGCCAAAAGCAGGGGTCCCACATCGGTGCAAACCTCTTCTGGGTCATTAGGGGTGAAACCGCTGCTCAGTGATACCTAAGGGGTATGGAGGGAAGACGCTGTCTACTGTCCCTGGTAGGAAGGCAGACAGCCACAGGGCTTGGGACCAGGGTGACATGGAGGTAACCTACATCCTGGGCTTGTGCGAGCCTCCTGGGCACATGCTCTATGAGTGTCTGGATTCTGGGTGCTGCTGGGATGTGTTAGTGACTCCATGAGTGTGAGGACTTGTGTGTGCTGGGGACCCCTGTGATACCCCAGGCTTGAGCTGGAGCATGAGTCCACCATGCTCAGGCAGCACCTCTGTACGCTGGAGCCAGTGATTCTCCTGCAGAGGCCCCGGGAACAGGAGGGGAACTCACGCGCAGTCTCTGTTTCCAGTACGTGATCTTTGCTCTGAGTGGGTACGGCCGATTCCGGAAGTCCCAATGACAGGAGCCCAGCACCCGACTGCCTCCATCCCTGTGGACACTTGGAGTCTAGCCAGGCCACAGAAGGCCCCAGACCTGGCCCTGGGGTGGGGTCTCAGAAACTACTCTGGCCTCCATATCAACCCCTACCCCCCAGTGACAGGGCACAGGACATGTCCCTGTTGTCTAGCTTGGGTCTCCCTTACAGGAGAGACTCCCTCCTTCACAGAAGGTCAGGAGAGTAGTCTCTACCTGGACTTAGGAATGAGCCAAGGGCCTCCCTATGGTTGTCACCAGAGACAAAGACCTGGGCCAAGCACAAGATCCAACTTTAGTGTCCCTAACCCACACCACAGCCCACTGTCCCTCTTCTCTTTCCCTTAAACTCCAAGTGCCCACATGATTCTGGGGAGGCCATCTCCATCCTCTCCCTTCTGCATGGGGTGGGTCCCAGTAGCCCAGGACAGTATGACCAGACCATGGTCATCCTAGGTGGTAGCATACCTCTGGGGAGTTAGGGGCACAGCCCCAAGCTCCGGGTTTCTCTGGGCACCTAGGAGGGGGTGGGCAGCTTACACAGCACCTGTCACTGCTGCCTTTCACTACAAAGGAGGCAGCACAAAGTGCCAGGGAATGCACCCCTAACTGTGCGACCTTATGCAAGTTACCCTAGCTTTGCAAAACCTGGTGTCCTGTCATTAAAACAAGGGAAAATTGCAAGTAGCCATAACCATGTTATGAGAGTTCATGAGATGGTAAATGTCAAGTGTGTGGGCACTGGGCAGAAGGCAGTAAGCTCAGCTCCACAAACATGCACAGTTATTCTAATTTTTACAAGCTGAGGCTGTTTGCAGAGAGGCACTGACAAACTGGCCCAGCCACCTGGAGGCCACGTCACTCGGAGGAAGAGACGGAGAAGCTGGCAGGCAGGGCGGGGATCTTCACAGGTGAGTCCAGGGTTGGATGCCAGCTCTGCCCAAGGCTGTGTGACCTCAGCAGATCACCTTACCTCTCCCTGATCAGCGTCCTTGGCAGATTCTGAGAAGCCACTAGGCCTGACTCAAAGAAGAGGACAGGGCTAAGAGCTGTATGGGTGAAAGGTCAGGAGACTGGTGAAGTGGCAGCCCAGGAGATGGCCTGGGGGAAAGTGCTGCCGATGCTGCATGAGACGGTCCTCACAAACCCTTACCCAAGCTGCTCATGGGGGCTGTGCCCATCGCCAGCCAGCACACGGATTACAGGGCTGTTCTGCAGGGAGGGGACATCAGCTTCAGCCAGGGCATAGGGAGGAGGTGAGGGGAAAAGGGTAGGGGCAGGAGGGGACCACTGCTTACTTGGTTGTCCTCAGAGGAGGAGTCAAAGAAGATCCCTACACTGTCCCTCGAGGCCAGCCACCTGGGGACAGAGCCGACGAGGCTCCCATCCTGGGTGTACCACACGACCTGCAGGGCCCCAGCCCCTCAGCTCAGAGGTAGCTGAGGGTGCTGGAACCCCAGGTTCATCACCCCACCGGGACTGAGTAAGGGTCACTCACCATGCCCTGGCCGCCCCTGTGGCCTGGTCCAGTCACACGCATCTGTATCTCCACCTCCCAGGCTGGGAAGAGGACCATGGCTCTGCTCCACACAGCACCGCTGCGGTTCCTCAGGGATGGTGCCAGCCGCACCTCCTCCGGGCCTGGGATGGCATCTATAGAGAGGGCAGCTGAGATGCTGTGCCCACTCACCCCTCAGGCCCTGACCCTCTGTCTCATTAGCCATAGCCAAGCCTGGGAGGAGGTCACACCAAGACCTACTGTTAAATAAGTGGCTGAAAAACACCAGTAATCCTAACACTCTGGGAGGCTGAGGCAGGAGGATTACAGGTTCAAATTCAGCCTGGACAACTTACTGACTTAGTAACAGTACCTGCCTGGCAAGCACAAGGTCGAGAGAGAGAGAGAGAGAGAGAGAGAGAGAGAGAGAGAGAGAGAGAGAGAGAACTAAAATTAAAAATATGGCTAGGGATGTAGTTCAGTGCAAAGGTCCTGGGTTCAATCCCCAGTGCTGGGGGAAAAAAAAAACCCAACTGGTGGCCGTGGTGGAGGCAGGTCAGATGCAGGACTCAGTTGTACTGGGAACCAGGGTTCTGCACAGCTGAAGGGGATTTTGGAGGGCTGGCGGGTAGCAGATTTGGGTGCTCTTCGTATTTCTCACCACAGGCCTGTGCTGCTTTTACATTTTACTGATGGGGAAACAGGCTCCAAGGCATTAAAGAAATACATGGGGGCCGGGGAGATGGCTCAGTGGAATAAGCACTTCCCTGGCAAGTACAAGGGCCTGAGTTTAATCCCTGGTTCCGCCAGAAAAAGAAAAAAAGAAAAGAAATACATGGATTGGAATTCAGCTCTATGGCTCTGAAGTGCAGGTCTTTCTATCCTGAGGGAGACTGAGGACTTGGGAGGGCGAAGGAGGCTCCCACGGCCCCCGAGTACAGAGAGCACCTTGTGACTCATCAGCTAGATTGGCTCAGGGCCCAGCCTTGGGAGCTGAGGGAGGGGAATGAGGTGGGCCTCGTGGTGAGGAAAGGGTGCAGGGGAGTAGAGTTGACAGGAAGGGCTTCCTGGGGGTGCCCAGGGAAGGTAGGAGGAGAAGGGAGAGAAACTGAGGGCAGCCAGGCAGGAGCTGGGAGACAGAGATCAGGCTCCCATCCCCACCGGCCACCCTGGAACCTGGCTAAGGGTCTGGATCCTGCCAGGTCTTTCCGGGGGCTGCTAATCCAGCCTGTTTGCTTAGAAGGCCAGTGATGGGAGGGAGGTGGTGGGCCTGCCTACTGCTCCTGCGAGTGGCTGTCTAGCCCCTGTGGGTGGCCTGGAGACACCCGCCGCTGTGATTGCGGGATCCTGGAGCCCGACTCAGCCCAGGGTCTCAGGCTGGGATCAGAGGATCTTAGCGGACAGTGTGTATCAGCCAGTGGTCTCCCCCACATGGCCCCACTCCTTCATCTACTTCCTGCGTCCCTATGAAAGGGCTCGAAGGAAGGCCCATCTGACAGGGCTCATCATCTTCAAGGGCTTCAGAGGGGAATGATTCCATTCTTAGAATTTACATTTTATAGGAACACATAACTAATCTGCTTTATCTCTTTGTTTTGCCTACTAGCAGCCTCTGAGCACAATTCATGGTTGGGCAGACCTCCCAGTATATATTCTGGAAACAAGCCATGTTCCTGAACTCATATCAGGTCCTGCTCCAAGCCCCAGACTCCTTGCTTATTCTTGATTCAGCTCCTCTGGGTTGCAGGGTTCTAGTAAGATATTATGACCCTTTCCGGGAACAAGATCAGGTGAAAGGACAGACTCCTGGTAGGTTGGGTCAGGAAAGCCCTCAATGCAGACCTGTAGGGTTAGAAGTGTTCCTGCCTGCTCCCCCGCACCCCAGTGTACACCAGGGATCTCTTGTTTCTGTCTAGAACATGCATGCATGTGAGTGTGTGTGTTCTCAGGTCCAAGGGGCAGAGGAGGAGAAGGAGGTTTAAGGGAGGCAAAGGAGGAGAGAGGAGTCCTGAGGCAGAGGAGGGCAGAGAGGAGAAACTGAGGCTGGGGAGGGAGAGCAGAGGACAAAGCTGGGGTGGCGCTGGCACCGCCACACCTGGCCCAGCCGGGTGTGATCCCCACCCCACCAGTCCCCTCCTCTGGCCTCACCTCCATGATGACTCCAGAAGGGTATTCCAGTCCCCGGCCATGCCATCCTTGGGCCCTTGAAACTGAGCTTGTACTCAAACCTACGCTGAACAGGGAGAGGAGGGGGAATCCCCTCAGCACTGTGGGGGGTCAGGAGCAGAAGGAAGAGCAGGCAGAGCAGGACATCGGGACCTTGGGCCCCTGGCATGGTGGAACGGAAGGAGCTAACATCCGGGTGCCAGGGTGATCAGGGCTGGTAGGCTAGGGAGGGGTTCTGGGCCTGGGCCAGGCAGGAGGAGCTGGGCACCACAGGGACCTGGATTTTGGCATGGACTTGTCCCTTCCTCCCCAGTACAGACATCCTGTTTCTCCTGGGCCAGTCTTGAGCCCCACCCTCCCCCACCAACTGAATTGCTGCCCCTGATCCTGGGCTCCTGCAGCTGGTGCCAGGGGTTCCTGGGGGTGCTCAGGGAAGGCCACCACCATAGGCCTGACTCCTCTTCCCTACCAGGGGTGGGACTGGTCTTCTGCCCCTTGCCTCTGTGCTCCATACAATGTCCTGACACTGGCCACCCATCCACCCACCACCTCTTCCTCTTCTTGCCTCTCCCCTCCTCTCTGCTTTCCAGAAAGCAAGCTTGTCCTTCCCAGGACCTTAGTGTCCTCACCAATAAATCACACGAACAAGGGAGGGAGGCTTACACGACAGCAAATAAATGCACTGGATAGACCTCATGTGGCGCCTACTTTTAACTCACAAACTGGAAAAAAATGAGATAACCAGGGAAATTTGAATAATGCACATTTGGTTATAATAACAAATTATGGCAGTGGGTGTGGTGTCTGACCCAGTACTGGAGAGGCTGAGGCAGGAGGATTGCCACATGTCTGAGGCCAGCCTGGGCTACGCAGTGAGTTCAAGGCTAGCCTGAACTATATAGTGAGACCCTGACTCAAACAACAATCTTAAAGTTTTTTAAGAGTAATGTGGTACTGTGCTTTGTGTAAGTCTTATTTTGTTTGCTTTTTTGAGGAACATACTAAAGCTTTATGGATAAATCCAGATAATGTCTGAGATTTGATCCAATTTTTAAGGGCCTGGGGACAATAGGAGGCAAAGAGAGTGAGGGTTGACCTGGAGTTGGTAATTGTTGATTGGAGGGGGTCAGCCCCCCCGCCCCCGCCCTCGCCCCTTCCTTTATCAGAACCTCGACAACTCTACTTGTCCTCTGTGCCTTAGAAACTGCTGGAGTCTCTTGTTGCTTCTGCCTCACTGGCTGGGGGATGGGGGTGGCGCCTACTGTATCTCTGGCACCCAGGTGGGTCCTGAGAGGACAGGGACCATGTGTGCTTATGTGAAAGAGCCAGCAGCAGGAAATGAGAATGGGGGGGATGGAAGGTTGGGGGACAGGGAGGGACCCACATGCTGCAGCTGGACCCTGTTCCTCTCCTCCACACAGGCATGCTCAGGTCCCTGGACCCTGGCTGGCTGGATGAGCTGATTGGAGTTGATAAAGGGTCCACACTCAAGGAGTCCTGCTGGGGTCATAGACCAGAGCTCTCGTCTTGCCCTGCCCTGGATTTGGACTGTTCTTTCCTGTCCCAGCTCCTCCCCAAGGAAGGCCCCACTGTCCTTCACTTCTGTCCCCTACCAGTCCTTAGATGTGACCCAAAGTTGTCCTTCCCCCTGGTGGCCAAATTCACCCAAGCCTCTGTCCTGCACACCTCTGGCATCCTCCTTCTCTCCTGCTATAGCTCCATTACTCAAGAAGCCATTGGCCTTGGGTGGCTCCCTCTCCTCTCACTGCTGCCATCTCAAAGGCCCCTACCAAACCTTGGTCCTTGGTGACCTCCTGCAGGCTTGGGGCACCTGCCTGTAACCCTACAATCTGGGAGACTGAGGCAAGAGGATTCAAGTTTGAGCCCAAGCTGGGTAACTTAATGACTTAGCAAGAATGTATTTCAAAAGTAAAAAGAGCTGGATATGTAACTCTCTGTGGATTTTAATACTCAGTACCATAAAAAGCAAAACCAAACAAAAACAACTTCCTTGAGGTTAAAGTTTTGGGGGGTGGGGGCTGTTGTCCCCACTGGTCTGTCCTTGGCCTGTTGGCTCAACTACTCCCTCTGTACTGGACATGGTCACCTCCTTCCGCAAGGGGAGATCCTTCCTCACCAGGAGGCCCTGGGCTCTCCTCTCTTGTGCGCCCTCCAGTGACCTCACCCTGGCCTATAGCTGTGTGTTCGATCCGCCTGTTCTGGTGCTCCAGGTTCCCTCTCCAGCTTCTGGGGCCCCATAACTCACCCAAGAAAGCTCAGCAGCTTCAGAGGCTCTTCTAGCTCCATCCCCCTTCAACGTAACTCGTGCCCTACCCTCCTTGCATCCACTGGCCATCCATCCATAGTCAGGGACGGCTATAGCTCCTCTTTATGATTGATACACCTTGTCAACTTGAGAACTTTAAGTGACTCAGCAGGGGGCCAGAGGCCTCACTCTGGAAACATCCTGAGTCTGTGCAAGAGGGCGGGGAGATGGCATGGGCAGAATCTGCATACAATATAATGGAGGGAAAAAGGTGTCTTCCCCACCCCTCCCTTACTCTTGCTGATTTTGCTGTTTTCTACCACCATGAACTGCTACCATCTACCATGTGCCACTTTGTCTTGGAGCCAGCTAATTATGGACTAAAACCTCCACAAAGGTGTTTGCTAAATAAACCTTTTCTTCCCTGATTTTGGGCATCAGGTATTTTGTCTCAGTAATGAGAATTAGGTAAGACACTCTCCTTCAGTCCATACTCGATCCACTGGGTTTGAGACAGGCTCTCAAGGTTCCCCAGGCTACCCTCAAAACTTATGATCTTTCTGCCTCAGGGTCCCAGGGATTACACAGCAGCAGTCACCAGGCTTTACCTCTGGTCTCTCTCTAGAGTCCCTCCATCTCCCACCGTGTCTTTACTTCATTTTCCTCACTTTGGCTTTTATCTACCATGTCACTCTCCTAAGAGGAATCCATCAAATGCTTCTTCCTGTGGCTCTTGGCTTGATAAAAACTACCCCTTGGCCATAGGTTCAGCTTTCCAGCCCCATTTCAAACCTCAGTGTACCTCCTTCGGTGGTGCTAGGAACTGAACCCAGGGCCTGCGCGTGCCAGGCAAGTGCTCTGCCACCTAGGTGCACCTCAGCCCTGCTCAGCAGTGTCACCACCTTCTTCCCTTTCCCCTTCCTCAGCACTGCTAATGCGGACTGCACTGTGGCTCCCTCTCTCCCCAAGTTCTCCTACCCCCATCTGGGGTCAGGAGGCTGGCGCTAGCACTGCTAAGCTTAGTTATCTGATGTGGTCCTGGCCATAAATGGCATAGGGTCTGTCCTGCTTACTGTTCAACCCCGGCCCCAGCATGTGGCAGGTCTCCAGGGATTTGCTTTGGAATGAATTTGCCCACCAACATGTATAAGACGAGCAAGGCTGATGCCTTGGGCCAGGGATAATGAGGTGGCTGGAACTGTGGAGGGCAGAGACAGGCACACATCCAGTCCGAGTTCCCCAGGGTGCTGGGCTCTCAGGGAACAAAACCAGTGCCCTCCCCTGCAAAGCTCCGCTGCACCTGGGCAACCTGCATCCCCATCTGTGCATCCTAAGTGAGGCGCAAAGGGGAAGGTGGCTGGATGCAGGCCCTGGAGCCTCAGCCCCTGCCGAGTCCAGAGGGTACAGGGGTGTGCTGGCGATGGGCCAGAGCTGCTGTGTTGGGTGAAATGAGGAACCAGCCCCTTCTTGGTTCTCCACAGCTGGCATCTTTGGAGACTGGTGCATCTTGTCCCCATCCTTGTCTGGCCAGCCCCCCACCTCAGCTCCAGCCCTCCTGTGCTGAAGACACGAGCCATGAAGTAAGAGGGGCAGCCAGAACCTGGGGGTATCCTACAGGGCAGCCGCAAGGCAGGCCCAGGTAGCATCGGGGGAGGTTGGGCAGTGAGCGCTCCCCACAGGTAGACACAGGACAGTCGCTCGTGCAGCTGACACAAAGCAGCGGCTACATCTCCTGGCCATGCTCCCCAGCCCCCCCCCGCCCCCCCAACCCGACAGAGACAGGGGGAGACAAGATGGCATGGGCACGGCTGGGCGGGACAGGCAGGCTCGGCAAGGAAGCGCCGTGTCCTCATGGAGTGGTTTATTACGATTCCATCTCACAAGGTGGGCGGCGGGTGGGTGGGTGGGTGGCAGCGGCACATGAAATCAAGCCCCTGACAGACGTCTGCCTCGGGCGCATGCAAACAGTGCAACATGGTCAAGCGCAAACACTAGGCGGCCGAGGCGACACGGCACATGGGACATGTAATACGGAATGGGGACGGAGGCCAGGGCAATGGGTCCCTAGAGAGGGGCCACTCCCCCCACCCTCAGGGCAGGACAGGAAAAATAAGATTCGTACTTCTTGTAAAATGCCCATTGGCTGGGTACTTTCTTTCTCCTTGTCTTGAAAAATAATAAAAAATAAACACACAGAAAAAAATCTCGAAAAAAGGAAAGGAATAAAACTCTAAGGAGGCGAGCGGTGGAGGCTGGGAAGGCTGACCGCAGTGGGCCCCGCCTCCTGCCCCTCGCCTCCACCCAGTCAGGCCCCTCAGCCCTGCAGGTGGGTCCATGAGAGGAGGTGCCAGGCCTAGGTGGGGTCCCAGAGCCGGAGGGGACAGGCGGGGACAGAGGAGAGAGGTCCGCCGGTCTGCTGGGGCTCAGTCCGGGCTTGGCCCAGCGTACGGCGGGGCACCAGGTCCCTGATCTCCGGGTCTGTCCCCTCCCACAGTCACAGATGCAGCTCATGGGCCTTGATGTGCTCAAGCTGCTCTCGGAGCTGCAGGAAGGAGGGGCGTGTAGCTGCATCCAGGTGCCAACAGTTCTTCATGACCTCATAGACGGCAGGTGGACAGCCATCTGGGGCGTCCATCTTGTAGCCCTTCTCCACCCGAGGGACGACGTCCTTCAGGGGCTGCGGCAGGGGTGCTTGGAGTCAGTGGGGACTCAAGCCAAAGGGTTCACCTTCAGTTCCACCTCAGACCCAGCCAGGAAGTGACCCAGGGGCTGGATTCCCTTGCCAACCCTGCTGAGCCAGCCACATCCCAGGCCAGTGCTCACACTTACAATTCTTGGGTAAGGCACTCGCCCGAAGGAGTAGATTTCCCAGAGAAGGATCCCGAAACTCCACACGTCGGACT